ACTCTGAACAAATTCTACCCACCACTTTATACTGGTTGTCATAACGAGCAAACTCCTCGGATGTTAACGATGCTTTATTGTCTTCTAACCACCCAGGATACTAAAATTTAAGGTTAAATATCAAAAATTAGCATGTAAGACTCTGTGAAAGTGCTTTTTGTGTGCACTGATTTGCTAATTTGAAAGTGAAAAGCAAGTACTCTTCACCTCTAAGCAACTAGTGTGACAAAATCAGGCATCAAGGGTTTAATTTTACAGTAATTTTCCATATATCAAAAAATAAACTACCGGTAGTATGTTTTTAGTGTCTTTGGGGTATACACTGAAACAATTATTCACCTCAGAGACAGTGGAAGTCGTGGATATTTACCTTGCAGCTTTACGGCTCAGTAAATATCCAATACTATTCACCTTCACTTTGGTGAATAATTGTTAATTAATCCATTGCAAATGAAGGAATGTTTTCATGAGCATGTCTATAGTATCCCCTATCAGAACCGAAAACTCTTTTGGGGTATACACTGAAACAATTATTCACCTCAGAGACGGTGGAAGTGGTAAATATTTACCTTGCAGCTTTGCAGCTCAGTAAATATCCAATACTATTCACCTTCACTTTGGTGAATAATTGTTAATTAATCCATTGCAAATGAAGGAATGTTTTCATGAGCATGTCTATAGTATCCCCTATCAGAACCAAAATATCAGCTGCTACATTCTGATGTTGTAAGCTAAGCCTAGCAAACAACCACTAGAGGTGTGGGTTCAAGCCCTGAGGCCAGTTTCTTGAAGGTCCCTGTAAATTTTTTTGAAACCCTGCACTACAAGCAACCCTCATTTTTGGCAAAGTCCACTGTGTGTGTCAAAAAGATTCAAAGAAGAAATGATGATGTTAGCACACCTTGGGGGGTTCTTGGAGTGAGGCAACTTTGCCGAAAAGGAGGAATTGCTCATAGTCTAATGGGACCCAAATCCATAATTTAAACACAATTTTAAATAATACTGGGTATAAGCTCAAAAACTTGCTCTTTCCTTTTTGGTGACCTGTTACAAAACTATAATTATAATTGTTTGAATGTCAAAACTATCAATTTTGTGACCTAAAACATTAACACTTCCACCAAAATGAGTTTTTCAGGTCCATACAGTTACTAGTAAGAGCCTTTGAGAGAAACTGGACCCCTAGTCAGACTATTGCATTGTGTTGTTGGAGAAGATGTTTTACAGTAACTCTAGCACTTCTCTCAGTCCAGGAGAAAAAAAAAGATACCTTTGAACTAAACTAACACTTATAGCCAAACACACAATCTCTGAGAGGCCTAGATGAAAAAATTCCAAAAACATGGCCTAAAAATCTATTTCAGAAATTCTCCAAAAAGTGTCTAACTTGTGTGTTGATCTCAATTTTGTTTCTGAAATAACCACATTATTCACATAAAATGTGAGATCCCTGTGGTAAAATTGCATGGAAGCACCTTCAAACCAATTCATTTCAAGAAGAATTTCAAAAGAGTTTATTTGCTAGACAATGTAAGTGGCTTATCAGCTTCATATCCTTACACAGTTCTCTTTAAAAAAAAAAAATCAGTAGCAATAATAATAAACAGTTAAAAGAGTTTGACATTTTCATGAAGCCTGCTTGAAAACAGTGGAAGAAAAATTAAGCTGTAAATTATTTTTCATGTTATTGGCCTAAAATCCTTAAACGTTCTAAAAATTCCTCAAATTTTCTAACAATCCCATTGACTTTAAAAGTCCAGGAAAAAAATCCAGATTTTTGTATCTAGCCTTAATCTTAGATCACTTAGTTTAAATACAAGTTCACCTTTTCTCTCAAGTCTTTCAATGCTGGATAAAGTACATCTTTGGATAGCAAGTTCTGCATCATTCCCTGCATCAATGGAAGGAAATCCATGTCTCCATCACCACCAGACAAGTTCATGTCTGCCATTGACTTGAAGAAATCTTCATTAAGAGACCCAGCATTCTGTACAGAAAGTAACAAATAAAATATCTAGATCAGGGAAGAGTATTTGCTGTTGATAATTAATAACTGAACACATTTTGCAATTTATAAGATCATCACTATTTTTCAATCATGACAAACATCTACCAATTTGTCACTGAACTATACCAATGTACCCTCTGAATTTTCAGAAAGAGATATTGGAAGTTGAAGACTACAAGTTATTAGAGAAAGTTATTTGTTCATTTTGTCATGAGCATGAGGAGTCAAACCTCCAGCCTTCTGTTTCTGATTCCCTATGAGGAGGCAAGACATACGTGAACTTTGTAATAGACCTCGCTCACTGTGGAGTCCCTGTGGCTCAGTGGTAGAGCATTAGAGTGTGGAATTGGAAGGTCTGAAGTTCAATTCCTCATTGGAACTCAGATCTTTTTTCTTTGTCCCACACTCAGCTCATGACAAGACGAAAAAACGTCTTGCTCTATTTCTTTACCAAGCTCAAAACCATCTCTATTATTCAACAAGTTCAAGTTTAAAGTGCATCAACACTACCAGAATCAGTACCAAGACACTTTGCTGACATGTCAACCTGCCAAAAACCAACTCGCTGAAAGCATTAGTCAATATTAGTCAACATTGGTCAACATTAGGCAACATTGGTCAACATTGGTCAAAATTATTCAACTTGCTGACAGTTATCTTTGGTCTTCGATATTAAATTTAAAAAGAATTAGTGTTGGTGAGTTGACCAAAGTAGGCAGAAAGTCGACATTGATGAGTTGACATGTTGACAAAGTGACTGGTAACACTATTGCTTGTAAAATGATCATGGAACAGGAATAAATGCAACAAAAATTTACATTCAACATGTTATCGACTTTGATTAACAGTTTCAGAACTTAATAATCACCTCTAAATCTTTAGCATTCTGAGCCAAATGATTCATGGTTCTGGCCAGATTGGCTTCGAGATCTGCTACTGATGATGGATTATCTAAGAAATAAATATTTTTTCATTCAGAATAAAATATTAAGCAGTATTCATAGCTTTTTTGTGGTGTACATACAAATAAATTGCATTGCTGAGAGCCAATCAGATTGCAAGGACCACTAGTGATTACAAAATGGATGTAATAAATGTTAAAACATCTCACCAGGTTCTGCACTGGCTGCAGCTTGAGCAAACTGCTCAAGTTGTGCCAGCAATTCTGGTTCATCTCCTAAAATTGATTTCATTGCATTTTCCAAATCTTCTAGGCCAGCTACTTGGCTGAAATCAACTCCTGAACGAGCATGATCAGTGGTTTGTTGAGATGAAGCTGACGCACTACTACTTCCCTCAGTTTTCAGTGTTGATTTTCTGCTGTTACAGGGATTTTTTGAAGAATCTGACAATTTTTCTCCATTTTCTGTATCAGTTTGTGAGCTATGTTTTGACGCCAATGGTGCTTTGCTGTCAAAATCTTCCAATGCACCTAAAAAAAAGATTAATGGAAAATGGAACCAAAGAGAGAACAAATGGGTTATTTTCTAAATTTATCCACATTGAATCAATCTTTGATTATATTGAGCTTTTATCTTTTTCAATCAGAGGGCTAACCTAACCAGAGTCAACCAGAGTCAACCAGAGTCAACAATACATTAGAAAGAAATGAAAGTTATCATCATGTGAAAACAACCCTGGCCAAAGAATCAAAGAGGAGCTGTGATCAGAATAGCCCAACTTGGCTCAAAGGTACTCCTTTATCATGCCATATTAACCATTTAACCCCTAAGAATGACCAGCATCTAAATTCTCCCTACAATATCACACCTGAATCATACATAAATGTCATGAAAATTAAGGAAACAATCACCAATTAAGGGAGCTTTTGATTGTTACACAAATTCTCCTTGTCAGCTCCCTTGGTATTGTATAGAGAACAGTATAGAGAATATGTATACTGATGTTGGGGTGTAAATGGTTAACCTTTTATACTATTATCAGTAAATTATAAATTGTTCTCTATACATTTCTCAAACTGCTGATAACAAATAATTGTTTCACAATCAAGACCTTCTTTAGTTGGTGATCATTTCTTTTATTCTCATAATCTTACTGATTGATTCAGGGCTGATATTTCAAGGAAAAATTAGATGCTAGTCATTTTGAAGTTTTAAGGGTTAAAGCTACCTAATGACAACTTGAGGATAAAAGAAATGATAGTCATTACTCATATCGCCACAACTCTGAGCTTCTTGAGCCACAAGATGAACAGTGACTGGAGGAAGCCAACTTGACCCTTATGCACCCCTCTATCACGCCATATTTATCACTGTGTCACCTCTTTCCTTCCCAAAACTGACTGAGATGTAATGTTTCCTTACAATATCAAGACAATTATTTAGTAAACAGCTAATCAGGCACTCTTACAATCTGCTAAAGGGAGTTAACTAAAAGGGGCTATGACAAGAATCACACACGTGCAATAGGAATTGAGAAATTGGCGACATTACCGGGTTGCATTTCTGTGAACGGCCTGGTCATGAAAAATTATCCCATGATACGATAATTTTTTTATTTTCATTTAAGTACGAAGAAATTGCATTGAGCTAGCTAGCTGACGATAGGAAATATCCCCATGAGAAAACAGACAAAAATAAACTAAAGATCGAAATGAAAATTTCTCCTGTGAATGATATATTTGAAAGAAAGTTAAGTTGCAGAGTAATGTAATTTGCAATCAGCTGAGTTCGAAGGTGACTGAGCAATTTTGATTTTGGTCCTGAGCTTAAACTCAAACGAAACTAGAAAATGATCGAGCAAGAGCAGCTAATATTCGAAAAACAACTCACTATCAAGAAGTTCATCCAATTCGTCATCCTCTTTCCGATCTTTGTCCTTCGCACTTCTATCCGCCATGATTTACACGTTCGTGTTTTTTGGTCAGCGTTCTATATCATTAGTGCCAACCTTCTCCATAAACTCAGACCACGCGGACGGCGAAATGATCAGATTGTTTCTGCAGAACAGTAGCTCAGCTCGTGTACAGTGTGTGAGGCTCTTGCAAACTTTTCCAGTGATGGTAAGTTACAAAGCTGCGCTAAGGAAGTTATATTTTGTTTTATTTTCAATATAGAGTAAAAGTAATCTCTATGAGTTTCGTTGATCAAAATATTGTACAACTTTAATACAATCATCTGTACATCAGAACGGGTGATTCCACCTACACAATAGCGTTTTCATTTTCGCCTAGCCCGTTACTTCATTGGTCTGGCTATTTCATTTCTCTATATTCGGCTTTTAAAATCAGGAGGAAAAAATAAGACTCTGGAGAATTATTCAGTCTGTTCCCAGCCAGTATTAAATTTAGTTGTAACAGGATGGTGTTTATGCAGTAAGAGCCTTAATGCGGTGCTCTCACGGACCAATTATTGCTTGAGGGATGACCAACTTCACTCCTCCACCCCCCAAACTCTACTCCGTTTGCTTGAGGAAGTGTTTTTTTTTAATACCTTTTGGAGTGATTATGAACTCTTTCAATATTTTGTTCAAAATTGGTGACAAAAAAAGTCCCCTACCCTTTCCCCCACCTCTGTCTCTCTCTTTTTTTTCCTGATGACACCCTTAACACAAGGCTGGAAGAGCCCAGTTTTTGACCCTTTAACTCCCAAGATCTAATGTCCAATCCTCCCCTTGCCCTGTTGCACATTTCCTTCTAAATTGGTTGCAAGAATTTGGTGTTAGATCAAGACAACAACTTCCACCTGATAAGTTTGAGTATCCTCGTTACTGTTTTGCTGGATAATGTCTAGATATAATAGGGAGAAGTTACATGTCTATCAGTTCTGGAAGTTTAAGGGTTAAGACAGTGTGGGAAACATGAAGATGGCATCCAAGTACTTAACTTTCTCCTGTGTTTGTATAAGAAATAACATGATTTCAATTGCAACTTGTTGTTAATAAACACAACTAAATTTTTCAAAGACAACAAAATCGCATGAGCCTGTACTGTACTCTCAAGTGTAATTTGTAGTCTTTAAAAAATTTACACTAAATTTGAAGAGAAATCGGGTTATTTCTTGTTAATAATGTACATGAAAAAATGTCAGAAAGGGTTAAGACAGACAAAATTTTGAAAGCCAGCATGCGCTATTTGTAATCTGCATAGAGGTTATAACTTCGCACTCATGTTACATGAGAATGCACTCGTTTCAGCCAATCAGAAGTGCATAATTTTTTCATGCACATTGTTAAAAATGTAACCAACAAGTTGCCATAATTCTCCACAGTCTTCACCAAAGTCCACGAAATTCACTGCTGAAGAGAGAGAGACAGAACTGCAGCCTTTAAAGTCCTCAGGCTGGACAGAGGTTGAGGGACGCGATGCCATTTACAAGGAGTTTAAATTCAAGAATTTCAACCAAGCATTTGGTTTTATGACACGTGTGGCTCTGACGTCAGAGAAAATGGATCATCATCCAGAATGGTTCAATGTTTACAGCCGAGTGCAAGTAACCTTGTCAACGCATGACTGTGGAGGGCTCTCTGCAAAAGACGTCAAGCTTGCAAAATTCATGGACAGAGCTGCTGGGTCTATGTGACTGTAAACACAACTCAAAAGGCACTGAGTTACTTTCAAGAGAATGTGAATGGTTGAAAATTTTAGTCAGTGTAGCTGTGTTACAACCATGTTAGATATGAGGACATCTACAACTATAAATGGTAGATAGAAGGAGTTTGGTGACTATCTTCAAACAATGCATTTACAACACAGAGGTCTTCTTTACTTTAAGGCAAAAGGTAAAAGAAGTTTTCAGACCAGTACAGCAATCCCTTTACCTGTTGAATTTTCAAGAATTCCAAGAAATTTTAGGCAGTAATAAAAGGTGCTATTAGTGGTAAATTTTTCTGGTAAACTCCTGAAAAAGAGAGCTATGACAACAAGGAAGTACATAAATCAAGTGGATACTACTTAATTATGCTGTTTGTTATGTATGCACTTCTCCGAAAAAAAAAAAAAAAGTGAAATTTTGTGCCTAGTTTTGTGGAATTTGATAAATTAGATCCAAACAGGTAATTCATTCAGGTCTTCCAGTTTCCTTAGTGATCAAGAAGTAATTTCTCCTAACAGTATCAATACATTATCAACAAGACTTAATTAGAATGAGAAAAAATAATCTAACGTCAAATTCTCAGAACTAACATTGAAGGAAATGTATGGGAAAGAGTAACAAGAATCTCTGTTGAGATCTTAGAAGTGAAGTGGTTAAATTTCATTCAAATACTTTCAAAATATGAATAAAGGGGACAAGTTTCTTATCAAAAACTGTGGTGCTACCTTGATAGGGGTATTAAAAATCTTTTTTTTTTTAAATAAACTGAAGTGATAATGTTAATTAGCCACTGTAAGGAGACTCTAAAGCTGACAAGCATTACTCCTTCTTCAGGGCAAGTTGAGGAATCATGAGTTGTGTGTGGTTTTTTATATAGAAAGATGGAGTTCCACTAATTGGTAGAAGCATGGTACATGTATCTCTGCCAATGTCATCTATTACATAACTTGTATTTATTGCAAAAAGGTTACACAATAGTAAAACAGGGAGATGACTCAGTGACCAATTCTACAAACACCCTTGTGACGCACAGAAAGATGTCAAAGACACATCCAAATCATTCACAAGACACTTGGCAGTCTGCAGCATTTTATTGAACTAATTCGTTCTTGTTTTTTTTTTTCACTTTATTATTCATGTTATCAACCAAGTTACTTTCAAAATATACTGGTAAATATGAAGGGTCTTAAATATTAAAAAAATGGAGCAAAAATAGTTTTAAAGGAGTAAAAAAAAAAGTTACGAGATGCACTTTTCTTTGGCAGGGTTTATATTAGATATCATTTTCATCTTCTACTGCTGATCAAATGTTCTAAGTAAATCAAGAAACTGTTTTGTTTTGCATCTTATTACTTAAATATCTTCTGCTTGTAAAACTGAAGTTCAACAATGCTTTCTTTGATGTCATCCAGGGCTCTGCATTTAAAAGCAAATTATTGGTTAGATTTGCTATTTGGTGATTCAAAGTTCTGTTTTGAAAAGAACGCAGATCAGGGAAAAAAAAAATGATTGACAGAAGCATTCTTTTTAAATGACTGTCTCCTGTTAACAATCAGTGGTATACAAATCATCATAATACCCCATTGCCTTTTTGTTCACCAGACCCTTAAATTATTTTTCATTCAAACTGAATAAGGCAATCTTTTGGAATGATCCTGGTTGTACGAAGGGTGGCTATCAACACTATCAACATGATAAGTCTCTGTCTTGTGGATAGCATGGTATGTTTTGTTGACAGCTATCCCCTAGAACTTTTTATCCCTTGGATAGGATAATATTAGCTCTTTGTAATATCAACCTTGTAGTATCAAGCAGCTTTACTGGGCTTTTGGTCAAAGGAGATGAGGAACATATATGTACTTTCCCTCTAATGGGGGGCTAATGCTCGAAATGTCACCGTTGAAACTCTTTACAGTGGTCACTTTATGTCATCAACTCAGGTGATAATACTAAATTACCCTGCATAATTTTATAATGGCACAGGCTAGCCACTTAACCAATTTCGAATTGTAGTCCTTAACCCTTTACCTCCCAAGATCTGATTCTTAACTCTCCTCTCTGGTTTCTACACAATTACTTGTAAAATAGTAACAAGAATTTGGTGTTAGAGCAAGTTAAACCATCTAGGTGATAAGTTTGAGTATTCTCATTACCTGTGTGCTGGATAATGTATGGGCATTCTGGGGAGAAGTTACATGTTAATCACTTCTGAGAGTTGAAGAGTTAAATAATTATTTACTGTACCTGTGGGTTTGCTTTTTCTTGGGAACTTGTTGATAAATCTCAGGATACCATCTCCTAATAGAGGGAACACAATCAAAATTAATTTGAATTTGAAAGTGATCTTTGCAGTAATGAACACCACTCAATCCTTTAACTCCCAAGATCTGATTGTTAATTCTCCCCTAGCTGCTACACATTTCATTATAAATCAGTTATGAGAATTTAGTGGTTGATCAAGATAACAACTCTACCTGATAAGTTGGAGTTTTCTCAATACCTGTTTACAGGATAATGTATGGATATTTTAGGGAGAATTTCCATGTTAATCACTTCTGGGAGTTCAAGGATTAAGCAGTAGTGAAAATAAAGTCTAAAAAAAATTCAGGCCTGTAAGGGATTTGAACCCATGACCTTTGTGATACTGGTGCAGCGCTCTACCAACTGAGCTAACAAGCCAACTGGGAGCTGGTCATTATCATAATGTTGGTTCATGTAATAAACCCATGAAGTGATGAATAAACAACTTTAAATACATTGAAATCATATATGTGAACTGTGGTTTAAGAAATGAGTTTGGAAGCGATCTTCGCCGTAATGAACACTACTTATAATAAGCAGTACTGAAAATAAGGCCTCAATTTTTTTTCAAGTTTTTTTTTCCAAAGCTGCGCCTCCTGTGCTACTCTTTTGTTGTTGTCACATTTTGACGTCATCTGTGATCTTTTATTGCAAAAGTGCAAGGCAACATGCCATCTGTTTGTTAATTGTAACTTCATTGTTGGTCCATTGTCAGCATTCAGTGCAGTTTCATCCAAATTTACTAACCCTTCAACTCCCATGAGAGACCAAGACAGAATTTCTCCTTACAATATCAACACAATATCAACCAAATAAGTCGTGAGAATAAAGAAATATATCAATTTGGGGATAATTAGTTGATCCGATACTAAATTCTCTGAACTGACATTATAAGAATTGTATGGTTGACAGTAAGGAGAATTACAAATTTGATCTGGGAGTTAAAGGATTAAACATGATGAGTACATGTGGAGTAAAGGGTTGTACTTAAAGACTACCTTGAATCTTAAAACCTTGCATCACAAGGACATGATTGAACACAAAAATAAAAAAAGTAAATAACTGAAATGTAAATTCTACTTTGCTAAAATTAAAACAGGATAAAACCAACAGACTCAAAAAGATTAAAATTGCGATAAATTAATCCTTTAACACTCATAAATGATCAAGACATGATTTCTCCTTTGTAATATCAGTGAAATATCAATATCAAGGGATAAGAAGAAAGAAAAATAACAATTGGGGGATTATAAGCTGATCCAATACCAAATTCTCTGAACAAACATCATAAGAATTGTATGGCAGCCAGTAGGGAGAATTACTACTGAGATCTTGGAAGTGAAAAGATTAAAAGTACATAAAACCATTATTAATTATAAAATTTCAGTTCACTAACCTACAGAGTTCTTTCACTGTGCTAACATCCACAATTCTGTAATGTAGGTGATTCATAAATTTAGGCATGTACTTGTCCAGGAACTTTTTATCCCAATGCACGCTGTTTCCAGCCAGTGCACACTGCTTAGCTGGAGTGTGTTTTTTTATAAACTCCAGAAAAATTTGTTGTGCCTCTGAGAGGCTGGTTTTGGATGCTTTAACAGCAGCTGTTAAACCTGACTTGAAGAGTGAGGAGAAGGAAAATTAACACAGCATTAATCCTCTACACCCTAACATCAGTATGCAAATTCTCCATACTGTTCGCTATACATTTCCTAAAGTACAATCAAGGTGAATTTGTTTAACAACAAAAACTGCTTTAGTTGGTGATCATTTCCTTTCAATGTTTGATTCAGGGGTGATATTTTAAGGAGAGATCAGATGCTAGTCACTGATATTAAGGATTAGAGGGTTAACATTTTACCTCCCATGATTAGGGAATTATTAGTTGATCCAACACCTAGTTCTCCAAACTAACATAACAAGAACTGTATGGCAGACAGTAAGGTGCATTACTAAATGAGATCTTGGGAGTTAAAAGGCTATGCAAAGATACATTACAGCATTGAAATTTTTGTACATAAAGGTGAAACAGTATGCAGAATATGTATACTTATTTTATTGTGTAGAGGGTCAAATAAAAGTTATAACATAGCTTGTAAATTTGTGTAATCAAATTCGATTGCACAAGTGTACTTCATATTCCTATTGTGCATGCTCATGACGTCAGCAAACAAATTCCTCGAGAAAAAAAAATTTTCTATTGGGTTGAAAATGTTATAAAACAATTGGTTCATGCATTAGCTGTGGGTTCGTCAAGATATGAAGCATTTGGGAAGTTTGGAGAGCACTCAAGAAGCTAGAGTTGCTCTCGGCTACACCTTGAGCAACTCTTACACATCTTTCGTGCTCTTCAAACTTCCTGCATGCTTCATATCTCGATGAACGCATGCTGAAGTATGAACCAATTGTTAATTATGAGCCAAAATTTATGCATCTTTACCTCTCCATGATGTTTGACACACCATTCATCCATGGCTTCTAAGACTGAGTTTGGCTGATGAATCACTAAGTCAGGTGCCTTTAATTAGAAAAACACATGTATCAAAATAAAAATAACTTTGCAGCTTAACTGTGATGATGATGATGATGATCGTTTATTCAGCCTTCTTGCAGTAGAAACTGAATTACAAGGCGGGTCAAAATTTACAAATACTTCTACATTATGCATTACATAGAACTATTTTAGATATCAATTAAATATAAATATTAAATATTGTGTAAACGTTAAATACTATAAGTAATAAGATAAATTGCAGTTAAGTATATTACATATGATTCTGATATTTAATAGTACAAAAATTTCCAAATCTAATAGATCTTGAGGAGGTAGGTACAGACACGGTTCTTCCTGCCCTAGGGGCATATGGTCTTGAAAATTGACATCGCGGTACTAAATTTCGTAGTAGGTCAGAAGAGTTGTAACTCCGCTTAAGGAAAGTGACGCATGCATCCTCCCTCCTCTGGCATAGATTAATTAAGCCTGACTTCTTAAGCGTGTCCTCATAACTCATAAACAGGAAATGATTTTTAGAGCCCTCTTTTGAACCGACTCAATTTGATCACTCAAGTACTGCGTGAGGCCAGCCCATACAGGACTTGCATACTCCAAGACAGATCTGATGATGCTACAGTAGACCAAGATAAGCTGCCCATCAGTTAAACCACACTTCTTAATCATCTCTTCCTTTCTATTTCTTCAGAACATCAAAATATCATTTACTTCATTGAATTGTACTATGGACCTCCTTGAATTTGCCTTTCTCACAACATGTCACCTCATGGCTCTGTTGATGGAAGCTTCCAACAAGTCATAGTATCTAGCAAGCATGGGTTTGGCTCTTGTCAAAACCTGAATTTTTTTTCAGGCTTTGCAGCTAACCCACATAGATCATTTTTTCATTTCAGTCTATATTATTCTTGGACATACATTACCTCTGCCACAATATTGAGGTTTTCATCTGTGATCAGGCATGCCATTTCTATAATATGACACTCATCGATGTCAAGACCTAAAGGAGAGATGTTAAAGTTTTAGCTCTATCCATACCACTCTCTCTAGTCTTCTTCACTAAAATTAATCATCACAAGTGTTAAGAGGGCTCAACATGTGAATCAGTATTTCTTAATTCCATATTGATCAAATCTTTGAATTTCAGGTTAAGGAACAGAATTCAGGACAAGATTTTACAGGAGAGGATTCTATGGTTCATTAATGTAAGTTATCCTGACTTCCTTGAGTGACCAAAGTAGAATTTCTCCTTACAATATCAATACAATATCAAGAATACAAGTCATGAGAATAAATAAAAATATCAGTAAAAGGATTATTAGTTGATCAAATACCAAATTCTCTGAACTAACATCATAAGAACTGTATGACAGACAGCAAGGAGAGTTACTATTGAGTTCTTGGGAGTGAGGGGTTAATAGGAGTAAGAGAGTTTTTTGTGCTTCAATAACGAACAAAGGAAAAGCTTTAATTACCTGTCATCTTGATGGCCAAACCAGCAGCAACAAGGTCAAGTTGAAGAGGGAATAAAAGATCATTTTCAGCAAAACACAAAAACAGCAACCACAAAACCAGACAATCTGCCCGTGTTTTACTAATTTAAAAAAATTTCTGTTTCGATAAAAACTGTGTAGTAGACAACGAGGTTGACCTTCATCTTAAAACTGCTTGTCTGAAATCTCTTATGGATGAGAGAAACCTCCTCTGTGCACTGGTCACAAAAAAGTAAGGTAATATTTGCATGCAGGTTAGCTTTAATGCAACTTTTATTGTTTGTTTTAACAGTCCTATATAATCACTTTTCTTAACTGTTATTTACTGGTGCGGTACTCTACCAACTGAGGTAACAAGCCAACTGGGAGCTGGTCGTTATGTTGGTTCCAAATACACCATTCCATCTGCACCGGTTGAGGTCATGGGTTCAAATCTCATATGGGCCTGAACTTTTTCAGGCCTTATTTTTACTGCTACTTAAGTAGTGTTCATAACTGCAAGGATCGATCGCTTCCATATTCTTTTCTTCAACCGCAGTTCACATAAATTATACGATTTTTACCTATTTACAGTCGTTTATAAAGTAAGGCTTGTTAAGTGAATCAAGTAACCGTAATGCCAGGGCGTGAAATTGTGCCTAATACAGGCGCCAATGCGACTAAATTTTTCACTTTCGATTGGCAACCAAATCCTGAAAATTAGTCGCCAAATTGGCGATTAGAATGTTTCATCATAACCTTAGCTAGACATATAGTGAATTAAAAAGATTTGCAAAGATAAATCTGCGGCAAGCTTCCTCATTAAGTTTGTTTCCAAAACGCAGCACATGCATCTCGATCGATAACTAGACGATACCATTCTTTTGCATACCACTTTCGAACTGATAAGTTTCTGAAACCAAATACAGTAAATTAGTTGGTGAATCAACTGACCTCTAGATCGACCCACACAAGTCTCTGGTTTTCCATCGTCAGAGAAGAAGCTATTTTTCGTGAAAGCGGCTTGATGAGGTGACGGGATCTCCCTAAAACACTCCTGAATGCAGCAAGTGAAGCAATCGGCGGGAAATTCATGGAGAAATGTCAATTTCCGCCAGGCGTTATTTCTACCTTGGTGGGCCTGCATATTAGTCTAGTTCCAGTTCCCACAGCCGAAACCAAACATCACCGGGCTGCCAAGCTGTAAAAGAATGTCTGGAATGTTTTCACAAGTGCCAAATCCTAAACCACAAGTCAAGACACAATATACCAGCGGATAAATCATTGTTTTCCACATTTCTGGCGTCCTACAGATGCCGAGTACTTATCTTTTGTAACATTATTTAAATGTCACTTGAAGAAGTTTCCCAGAGACCGAGTTCTGCGTCATCGAAAGAGCACATTTATTCGACCGAGAGAGAGGCTTCCTCTCGACTTACAGCACGCTTAGAACGATCGGTCAATAAGCGATCACGGGCAAAACATCGAGTGAACTATCATGATTCCTCTGCTCCAAGCCGCAGACGGGAACCACATCAGGATTACGGCCAGAGCAATAATATGGAGAGCGGAAATCAGAGAGCTCACCGCGAAAACGAGTAAGTTCATTCTCTTTCTTTCGTGTTAGACAAATCGAATTGTTACCCCATAATGCGAGTTGTTATCAACGGATAAGCACACTAATTGATTACCCCTAAAGATGTATTTTTACTTGTCTGGGGTTTCACCTTCAATCGATGAAACGTTATTCGATACGGAATGTAAGTGATCGATCGCAACAGTGTATCAAAGTCTTATTTTATTTTTATGATTATTTATTTAGATTTCGAAGCTGAAAATTGAGGGAGTCTTTTTACAGAAGAAAGCTTCTTACACACTTTGTTTGACAATGTTTATTTTCAAAACAAATCGGTAATTTTTTTTCGCCGTTATGTAACAACTTATACACTGCCTATGGCTCGGTTTATTATGCTTATCAGAAGTTATTTTTATTCACCTTAACGAATGTTACGGACGACAAGGTCACGTTAACATAACACTTATGGCTCATTCTAATGGCTATTAGTCACTTCCTGTTTTGAATAATCAACAATGCCTTATTGATGGCTGGGTTTTAACGCAGTAGGCACATAGACAAGTCTGAACTTGTTTGATAAATGTACCTTTTCAATAATTATAGTCTTTTAGAAATTGGTGGTCAATCTTTTATGATGCCAAAAATATCCAGAATTTCTATTTAAAGACAACCAGTGAAATTTATCATAAATCTATTTTTGACCTTAAAGTTTTTGTTTTTTTCAATATTATTGAGATATTTTTTGGGTTGGTAAATTATTTGTGTTTGATGCATAGTGTCAAAGAATTCACTAAGAAAACCAGTGCTTCCAAATATCAAAAAAAAAATCATTCTTAATTGAAATAATTTGTACTTGAGAGATGTTGTTTTAAATGTGGACGTTTTATACACTTTCATGGAAAAACATACATGTTTCCTGAAGGTTAATTGGGGATGAATTTATATCTTCCTATATTAGTGTGTCTGCAATTAAGTCACTAATGAATATGTTGATGTGTATTTAATTACAGTTTGTTGTCATGCAAAAATGACCCAATTCAATTTCTAAGTGAATTACCTTTGATGCCAATTAACTTTGTGTTAACAAACAAAATTTGATGTTAAAGCCATTTCTATGTGTATCTCTCTTGGCTGTTTTCTGTGTCTTCATTCAAGACTTTCCTCCCTACAAAGGGGAGCCTTGCATGACAACGCAGGAAACAGCTGTGAGGGAGACTAGTGCTAAACTGTGCAGCTGGAAATGTTCACACAATGGAACTCATTTCACTGCAGTGTATAAACCCATTCATTACTGTTTACCTTTGTTTCAAGAGTGTTGCATTAGAATGTTAAACCCAGTATCAAATTAATGAGCATAGGAAATGATATTAGTATGAAGGGTAATCATGTCTGAACAAGCTTATTGTTCTCTGCCCATACTGCATGACCCCTGTTAAGACAAGAATGCATTCCACACATGTTGTTGCAAGCATGCTGGATTCTGAGCAGGCAAATTTAGAGCAGGTTTCAAATCATGTACAAGAGGCAAGTATGCTTGTATGGCATTTAATAATTCACTAGAAAAAAAGGAATGAAATTGTGCTCTGCATTATTAGATAATTTAACAGAAATACATTTTCTGTAATGTTCAATGAACAGCACAAAGTCCAGCGAGTTGAAGTGGTTCTTGAATGATAAATGTGCCTTTTACTTGCTAAACCAACATCTTGTTGATCAATGTTTTTCCTATGCTGTTCCTTTCATAATTCAGCGTTTGAAAATTTGAAAACTTGTCATGTCAGTAATATGTATAGATATGAGCTGAGTTGAAGCATAGCAAGCAAACTGAGGGGGCATTGAGATGTGCAGCCTGTGTGAGGAAATTAAATGGAGAAGTGTGTTGATATGTTATGAGGCTTGCTCACCTAGAATTTCCTTAACTACTAGCTTCGGCTGTTCCTTACGTTATTGTAAGAGTAAAGAAATCACAGCCCAGAGCAGTTGAATTTTGTTTAGAAACACTTTTTATTACTGTGCCATGACATGTCACGTCATCTTGTCCTCTTACAAGAGCCTATTGTATGCTCGTCAGGCTTTTAGTGTGTGTATATTTGTTGCATAGACTCGCTGAATGGTCAAGCTATCCAATATTTGTACAATTACATATACTGAGTGGTGGGTAAAGACAGCTATCTAGTCTGGTGGTTCTCTTCTCCAAGGTGTATCTTAATTTTTAAAGTATAAAGCTTTTAGCAGTATTGTTGCTCATTGGATTAGATGCAGATACTGCTTACATAGGAGTCCATTGTAGGTTACCACTCTTCCCCCCTCTTCCCTGTATCTTTCAGTGCCCCTCTCCATGGTGGATTATATAGGGATGACAGTAAATTGGCAAAGAAACTGACTTAATGTCAGGTGGGGGGTGACTGTGTGATGGACTTGATACCCTTTGGAGGGGGAGGGTGGCAGGGAGTGTCATTGTCTTAAATCCTTCATCTTTCAATTGCAGAAGTACTTATGGTGTTTTCTGGCTCAGCAGGTCTCTGAGAAAAGTGCCACCCTTCTACGATCACAGGCAGGATGGCAGTCAACAGTTCTACAGAAAATCTGATACTGGCGACATGAGGAAACATGGTCGACCTCAGAGCTGGTACGGAGCTGAAAGTCCGGAAAAAAAATTCAAAGAGAGACCACAAAGCATACATGAAATATCTTTGGATCGAAACAATCAGAAGAACAACTGTATTCCTGGGCGTGATTATCATAGCTTCTCTAACGATACACGTTCGTCGAAATCTGGTTATAAAAGCACTGGCTTCAGAGACCGCAGAAGTAGACATTTTGAATTGTCAAGGTCGTTGTCGTCGAGTTTCAGCTCCCAAGTGGGGTCCTCTGCGGATGAGGGTGAGAGGGACCGTCATGGAGTTGACTCCGCATATGACATGACAGAACGATCCCCATATGGGTCCCTTGTACTAAGGCGTTTTAGCCAATCAAGTTTAAGCTCCTCTAGTGCGTCTTGGCAACAGTCCACGAACTCATTGAGTCACCATGCCGTGAGAGGTCACGGGGGATCTGGGTCACAAGGCACCAGTTCCCCAGATAAGTTCCACAGGCACAGAGACCATCAACGCCAGACAGTTCACAAAGAAGTTTACTTAAAACAATCTCCGAAGATTTCCGAACACATTTCAACTACGAATGCAACCTTTATCTCTGCCGCACCAGTGACCCAGTACTCGGGTCACGCCATTCGCGTCAACGCTCAACCTCATCGTTCACACAATTCTCATGTTTTCGTTCAAGCTACGCCTTACTCTTCTGGTCATCATGTCACGACATCTGTTCCAAGTCGGTTATACAATCACAACGTCACAGACTCCGCCAACAACGTTTCTCAGGTGTACCCTTCTGTCACGCAAGTTTCATCCACACCTACTCAATCGCCACGAAATTCTTGGACGCGAGATGATGAAGACACCACTGGACAACTGAGCCCGTCAGTGAAAGATTTAGCGAAACGTTTCAGCGGCGAATTTTCCACAGAATCATTTGAGGAACTGCACGAAATGAATGATAGAGAACGGAGGCGCGTAAAGGCTCAAACATGGCCCAAGTTTGCGTATGTCCACTCTCCGAAGGATCGCATTACCCACGGTGAACAAGACCATGGCCACGAGGTTGCACCGCCAAAACCCCCGTATCCACAGAGTTTAGTAGAAGACATGGCTGTTGTAGAAACGACTATTGAGTCAAGGATTAGCAGAAACGAAGCAGATGGTCCCTTACGAGCGCCTGATAAGAGTTACACATTGCCAGCGCATGGTCAGTGGAGTTACATTAACGGCTCTGTAAGCGCTGATATGCTCGCCACGCATCGCTTAAGTCTTCAGGAGCTTATCAAACTGCATGAAAACGAAATAGCCAAACATGCCAAGAGCGCCAAGGCGACTGCGCATGCCCAGATTTACCTGAAACGCCCCGTAAACGAAAAGCCGCGAAACGCGCAAAGCCCACAAACGTCACCGCGAGAGCTGTCAAGGGATGGGAACTGGGCTGGGTCATCTCCGACTGCTCACAAACAATTTTCAGTTGTGAACAGAGTTGTGGATGGCAAGCAAGCCGTATCTCAGTATGAGCCAGTCGAAAGAACGCCGATAAAGGTGATCGAGGTCACCGATAAGGGCAGCATGCCGTCAGTTAACTCTGAAATACGAGAGCGATCCCCGATCAAAGGCAAAAGGCATCGCACAATCGGCGTTGTCGGGTTCCGACAACAGATTGATCGCGTTACCGAAGAAAAAGCCGAGAATAAACCGAAGCGTCACACAGCGATCGGTATTGTAAGTGTCAAGGCTGTGGACACATTAGAACGTCAGTTGGTGAAAGAGGAGACCTGTGTAGTAAGCCACGCTGGCTATGGGGTGAACAAGATTCCAGAGAAAGGGCTTGAAAGCTTGGACAGTGAACAGAGAAACAACAACGTTGTGCTTAACCAAGATTCACGACAACCTCCCACAAGCATGAGGGTAAAAAAACGTAAAGAATTCGACAGGACGGGGAGAACTGACTTGGAAGACGAGGACATCCTTGATGAGGTTTTCGAGCGTAATGAAACATCCATACAATTCGTTCGCTCGGAAGGAGTCGTTCAAACTCGGCCGGAATCCGAGCATAACCGAGAGCGTAAGACAGCGAGATCTGACGAGCTCACAAAGGGCGAAGGATTGACTAGGATCACAGTTGCTTCTTCGGAAAAACCGGGTCAACCTGTTGAGCCGATAAGCACCCAGTCTCCGAGCTTACGGAACGACGGTCGCACGTGGAACGTTCCAGTTTCAGGCCGTGCGCACAATTATCCCAAACCTTACGCGATGTCTAAGGCTGTACCAGTCGCGCAGGTTTCGCCTGTTAGTCCAGCCCTTGAACTGTCTTCTAGAGCTAATCTTACAAAGGATAATTTCACTGAACCTTTACCGCTTTCTAAGTCTCAATCTGCTCGAGAAATGTACGAAACGAGACTTGCCTTGTGGAATTTGTATCCTCCTGATACTAGCCCAGCTATGCATTCATCGGAAACTTCAGGAAATACGCCCCTAGATGAGAAAATTGGTGTTGAAACAGAGCGAAATAATTTAGGATCAATAAAGGCTTTGGATGCACCGGAAGACAGAATGATTCACGAAAATGAAACGAAGAACGAACCGAGAGGTTTCGCGAGGCCGAACTTGGAAGAATATTATTCGAAATTTATAGAGAAGTTAAAAAATGAAAATAAGGAATTGATCGCGAAATACGAAATGGAGAAGAGAGAATTGAGGCAGAAATACGAGGAACAAAGAAAAGTAGCCAATGCTTATCAAAAGCTAGAAGACAGGTACAGACGTCGCGTGCACGAGTTACAGGAAGCCCTCGCCGGCTGCACATGCCAAAGCCCATTCGTGAATCAAAATCACGTTAAAGCACCACAAAGTGTGACCACAAGGTGAGTCGTTGAAGTAAACTGTGTACATCTTTCTAACTTGAGCGCAGGCCCTGCTCAATGCGTCGTAATATTAGTATTTGGAGGTTTCGTTCCATCGCAAGTTCACTTTGCACTAGCTTGCGCCTATGTCGAGAAGTTCAGCCCGTTCGTTACGACAAGTTCTTCCCTTCCTTTATCAGTGCGCCCCCAAATCTTCGAATCGTTTCGCAACAGAAGAAAGTTTTCCCTATCTGATGAATTCGACCTAATCGGATCTTTGCTAAGACGTTTATTATTCCCCTCCTCTTAAGATAAAGCACGTCCCACCGCAAAGAAACTCGGTGAAAATTTTGGGGCGAGCGGGTTTTACTCTGTGGGGCTGTTGAGGTCCTTTATGGAGGCGAACAGGTAGGGGCAAATTTGCTATGGCGTCCTCTATAAACCGCAATATTGCGCGAGATACTTTATGATACGTTCTGTCTCTTTGAAGGAAATCTGGGAGGTCCTTGTTCGAGGCCCAAACTCTGTATGGTGTTCTGCAGGGAAACACCTTATAATTATAAAGCCTCTGTCCACCCAGGGGTACAAATGGGTACCAGCGAACTGTCGGGACATCTCAATGAAATACCGTAAACTGCGATGTGCTAGTTTCTTATCAAGGAAAATGATAATACTTCTAGATGAGATTACAGTTCATTGCAGGTTACTTCCCAGTACTTCTCATCAGTTTTACCTGAGAAAAAGACCACTACCCATTTATACTCCTCAGTGGAGACAGTCGCCAGTAGAATAAAGAATCTTGCTTAGGAACACAGCACGATGATCCAGTTAGGGTCGACCCAGTCCTCTAGACACCAGGCCACAGCGCCTGCCACTTTCTGTTCAATGTGTAAACTTTATTTACTTATTTATTCATTATACTTCTCTGCCTTTTAGAAGCGAGAAGGAAGGTGACAGGTCTATCGTCTCAAGTATCAAAGGGCTAAAAACACTCGACGATCTAGAAGACTGGTTGAGCGAAAACTCAAAAGACAACAGTGCCTCTAGAAAGAACAACAACACAGAAAGTAGAAACAGTTTAATCAGCAGTTCGTCCGACATGACGGGAACCGCGTCCGCCTGGGACGAGCTCTATGATCGGCTTAGAGCCACAGGTGAGATTGATGTGGAGAATGGTACGCATGTCTGACGTAACAGTTCAGCGCCATTTTGGATTTGGTAGTGACGAGCCTGTTAACTTTCAAACACCCTCGTTATCAATGGTCAGCGGAAAATGGCGTTGCCGCGGCACCAGCCGTGGCTTACCAAGAGTAACACATGGCGGTCAGATGCAAAACAGCGAGAGAACTGCACGAATTTTAGGTGAAAATCATACGAACTTTTGTCATTTTAAGGTTGACTGTGCGGTCAACAAGAAGTTTCCACTTGTCTCGGTCCTTGCCTTAACCAGGTGATATTTCAGGCTGTTAGACGCGCAGGCGTTAACAATACTTTCACTTTCAGTAACTCTCTTTCAGTGAAATACTTTCATTTGGCAATTTTGGCGGGAATTGTGGCCTCCGTAAAGTATGTACTAGTGTTTCTCGTTCAAAGCCCTTTGGGGTAAGCTCCTTTCCACATTTTCCGGCAAGCTTTCACAGACCATTGCGATTGAGATATTGAGGTTAGTTTTTGGTTCAAAAAATGGTTGTTGCTCGTTTCAAACGCTTTTAGAGTTAGCTAAAGGATACGTGAACAGGTATATGCGAGAAGTGGCCTTGGGCTCTCTTTTATCGATATTTTACCTCTTTCTTTTACGCTGTCAGTCTCGAGGACTAGCGAGTCGTTTTAATTAATTTATAAACACAAAAATGCCGTATATTTTGAAAATTAAGAGTTTATGATAAATTTAAAATAATTCTCCAAATGTGAGTTCTGTGAAAATCAAGTAAATCCAATGAGCGGGAAAAGGTTTTGTGAATATACGAGTTATTAATTTTCTTAGAAAAGTAAAAACTTGAAGTGAAACTTGTATTTTGACCTCATAATCGTTCTATTTATATTGGACTTGACGGTACAAAAATTAATCAGTCAATTCAAGGTATCCCCCGTCAAAGTAAAAGCTAAGTTTGGATTTTGTTTTCAGCTGAATAGTCCAAGACGTAACCGAGTCATAGTGTTGTTAAATTTTCGAATGACGATGACGTGTCGCAAAGAATGCTGTCGAGGAATCACTTCATCTCAACACTCGATTGTTGAATCCATATTGGAACAATGACTTGAGTAGGGATAAAGTATCACGCATTCAAAAACTAATGGGTATACCAATCGCGAGTCACAAAAGCTGTGGACTCAACTAACAATGCCTTCACTGAGATTGGTAAATGTCGAGAAAAGAATGGGCATGAAATGATAGTTGTGTCATTTATTGAGATTGGTAGATTTTTTTGTTAACACGGGAGATTTGACAAAAACAGCATACTTTCACATAGTGGTTTCCCTTTGGTGTGGTTGTTCTGAATTAGACCAGGATAGCTGTTAAGACATACGGCAACCATGCTATGGCTGGAATACATGAGCAAGTTTTATAATTGTTTACAAAGTTATTGGTCGTTTATAACAACAAAGTCTGGCACTCGAACTAGTTATCTAAAAATTTTACTTAGCGTTATTGCGCATAATCAAACATGTTAAGCACGCAGTAATGACCTTTATCATGATGATCAACCACGATAGGGTCCAGTGCATTTCTGAAATCTAGGCAGAGAAAAGAGGCACCTTCAACCTAAATCTTGGTAAACCTAATAATTAGTTTGTTACTTCTACAAAGTTTCCCTCACTTGCCCATGTATTGCATAAGTTATTTTGCCCGAAAGTAAAGCGTCAGCCCAACTTCTGGACGAGGAACATTGCAGCCGGGGTCGTAAAGAGCATCTACACCAAACTGATTTGCAGGACCATAGCTGGTGCTATGCCCGGCCAGACACATCCCGTGACCAATATTCAGCGTCGTTTTACAACCGCAGTTGTCATCATCCATCAGAATGGACTTGACGCCATGCTGTTCACGGTACATAAATGAGTCTTGCTTGGCGACTGGCGTTTTTCCCTGTAGAACCACTGGATCCCAGCTGTCTACGTTGTTGACTACTTTGCCAGCGGGAGTGGTCACATGATCGTGGAAAGCCAACCAAGCCGCATGCGCAACAGCATTGTGATAGTCAAACTTCCAAAGGTAATCGTTTCCTTGAGAATCAATAGCAAGCATTTCAGTAGAGTCTTCCCTTGCCCAGGACGGAATTCGCCCGAAGCAGTATTCGCCATACGGGTTGCAATTACCGAAGGGGTAGGCTAACACATCTTCCTCATCAGCGGGCCAAGTTGCATCTGCTGTCCACCACCAGAAAGCCAGCCAGTTTCCGCCATGTTTACAAGATGACAAAGAGTGCACCACTTCTTCGAACACGGAGAAGTACAGTGCCAGACCAACGTTAGGTCGCGGCGTGTTACAGTAATTATCGTAGAGGGCGTCAACTCCATACCGATTTACAGGACCATAACTTGTAGAAAATCCGTCTGAGCACATACCATGTCCCATGCTGAGGGTGGACAAACAATCACAGTTATCATCATCCAAAAGAAAAGACTTCACACCACCTTGAGCTCGGTACATGAAGGAGTCTTGAGAGGCTTTTGGTGCTGTTCCTTTCAGCAATTTAGGATTCCATGCTTTGTTATTCTGTATCTTGTTAAATGGTGTTTCTTCGTGATCGTGTAAGGCTGACCAAACCGCATGCGCTGTTGGGTTTGCCGAGGAGAATTTCCAAAGGTATACGTTTCCTTCAGTGTCAATAGCGAGCAATTTTGTCCTATCCTCTTTTGCATCTGTTGGAAGCCTTCCAAAACAGTAGATATCTGTGTCCTTGCACGCGCCATGTGGCTTCTCCAAGACATCAGTCACGTCCTTTGGCCATATTCCGTCTTTCGGCCACCACCAAAAAGCGGTCCATTTCTGCCCAAAACCCTCGAAGGTTAACTTTTGTTTTGGAACTCGAAAGAAAAGACTCAGGCCATTGTGGGGGTTTGGCAGACTGCACGTAGGGTCGTACAAGAGATCTACTCCACGACCATTTGGATCGAACTGGTTACTACAAAAAGTTGCCCCAAGTTGGATTGTCGAGAGACAGTCGCAATTGTCATCGTCAAGTAACAAGGATTTTACACCATTTGTACCTCTATATGTGAACGAATCCTGGTCAGCAATAGGAGATTTTCCTTGAAGAACATTAGGATTCCAGGGGCTCTGATTTAGGACTGCACCAGCCGCTGTCTCTTTATGGCTATGAAAAGCACGCCATGCAGCTTGTGCTGTTGGGTTAGAAGCATTAAACGACCAGGTGTAAACGTTCCTTTTTGAGTCTTTTGCCAAGATTTCAGTCGAATCTTCCTCGAGCCATGCAGGAAGTCTCTGAAAGCAAAACGGAGCACCACCAGAGCAACTACCATATGGGTCTTCAAGTACATCGATATTTTGATTCTTCGGTGCACAGGCAGACCAGTTCACACCGGCATTCCACCACCAAAATGCTCTCCATCTTCCCCCGAAATCGTACAAATCAGGGCGTTTGGCTCGAAAATAAAGAGTTAGCCCGACGTTTGGCACAGGACCATGACATCCGTTATCATAAAGAGCGTCAACGCCGTAGACATTAGGTTTGCCATAGCTGGTAGAATGATCAGCTAAACACATACCATGGCCAAGACTAAGTGAGGAGTGACAATCGCAGTTGTCGTCGTCAAGTAGCAGAGACTTAACTCCGTTTTGCTCACGGTACATAAGAGAGTCTTGAGTCCTAGACGGTGCATTCCCCTTCAGAGCCATTGGCTCCCATGGGCTGGAGTCGAGAACATCTTTGTGTTGGACTTCTTGATGATCATGAAATGCAAGCCAAGCCGCATGCGCGACAGTGTTCTTCGGATTAAAGGACCATTTATAGACCGTTCCCAAAGAGTCAAGTGCAAGAAGCTCCGTGTCATTTTCCTTCAACCAGGAGGGTAAACGCTGAAAGCAGTACACGTGGAACTCCTCACATGAACCATATGGGCTTCCAAGGATATCTCTTACGTGTTGTGGCCAAGTTAAATCCTTTTCCCACCACCAGAATGCTCTCCATCCCCCACCAAAGTCTTCCAGAGTAAGCTTTTTGGCTGCTCGAAAGTACAGTGAAAGGCCATAACTTGGAGATGGTCCGCGACAGCCTGGGTCGTACAGTTTATCGACACCAAACACGTTAGGCTTGCTGTACGAGGTGGAGACACCAGCGTTACACATCCCATGACCCATGCTTAGGGTTGACAAGCAGTCACAGTTATCATCATCCAGAAGCAATGACTTCACACCATTCTGTTCTCGATACATGAAAGAGTCTTGCGTTGCTTTAACCTCATTTCCCTCCACTACTAGGGGATCCCACGCTTGCTTGTTCATAATTTTTCCATGTGGTGTTTCTTGATGATCGTGAAAAGCTTGCCAGACAGAATGCGCAGTTGGGTTCTTTGAGTCAAACTTCCACTGATAGACAGTTCCGTCCGAGTCAACAGCTAGAAGTTCTGTAGCATCTTCTTCCGCCCATGAAGGAAGCCGCTGGAAGCAGTAAGGATTGTTCGGCTTGCACAACCCAAAGGCGTCTTTGAGTACGTCTTTGACATTGGCAGGCCAAGTTTGCCCGGGGGTCCACCACCAGAAGCGTTGCCATGACGACATTTCAATGGCAGAAGATGACACCACAAAAATCAAAACCACAACATGGGCGCAGAGTTGCGAAGATGACTCTGAAACGAAGACAAGAAGTTAACAATCATATCATTAGCATATGAATATGTATTCATGACTCCGACACTCCGATTTCAATTTGGCCAAATTATTCCTTTTATTATAATTTTATTATTCTAAACAACTTAACTCACAATGTGGAAAGCTTTCGTCGTGGCATTTGCGCGATCGTTGCTCAGGAGTTTCTATTCCTGATATTCATGTCCCGGCACATTTATTCCTGTGGTGTCAATTAATACTTCATGTCCTGTGCAACCGCATTATTTTAAAAACAAACCCATTCCTTCGTACTTACGCAATTTACTTTAGGTCGTAGAGCCATTGTTTCTATTTGTTTACGAGATATCAACACTTAATTAAACAGACCATCGGCGAGAACAGGAACCTACTGTTATTACCAAAATTAATTATAAAGACACCACGAAAATTACGTATGTACGTGATCTCAAAAACATCGTAACGCCAGAAGATTTTGGATTGGTCGGTTCTAATATGCCTTATTTTGCAATAAAGTAGGGCGTTACTTATTATCTTATGTTAGCTCTTTGATTTGGTGTCTTAATGTCACAATCTCTATTCTTTTTGGTGTTTTGGAATTAAGACAATTTCGTTCAATATGATAGCTGTTATCAATCATTCCCTCGGAGTGAAAATGCGCGGATACAATGTAACACCATGTAACAAACACCACCGTATAATGACGAGAAAACAATCAGAGAATCCTTTTGTCTGTTAACTCAGCTGGCTGCGCCGCTTAATAGGCAATTATGCGAATGTACAAGAAAAAGAAAAGATGACAAAAACATTCAAATACGGTGCGCTAAAGTTAACGTAGCATGCTTCTAAACGTCTTACCTTTCCTAAAAAACATAGTTAGCTTGTGTTCTGTCCTACCTCCGATGTAAACGCGATTCAAGTTTTTTTTTGGAGTGCTCAAATGATAAACAAAACCGAACTATTGCACTGCAGGATTAGAACTCCTTTTATTGAACAGCGTACGTGACATTTGGATCATGGTCCCTTTCGTGCGCTTGACCTCATTCCCCAGAAATGTAACAGGAAGGCCAGCGTGAGAAAACGACGTACGCACATTTTCTGGAAGAAATACTATATGCACGTGAAGGTTAAGTTGCCACGTGATTAGTGGAAGAGACAGGACCTTGAAAATCAAAACTGCGCAAATGACGATTAATAATTTTAATTATGACAGCCTTGACAGTTTTTCTTTCAACATAAGATGGACAAATGCTTTTTCAGCTGAGTTTCATGTTGTTGCTGCAAATCATGTTCACACGCTCATTGGCAAATTCTTAACCTGTTCATGGATGCGCCTTAAATTCTTCGTACAGGATGAGAGTTAAAATATCACTTACACTAATACCGGAAATTTTGCCCCTGCATGTTGCAAAACGATTTAAGATAAGATTAAGTATTATTTAAAGGTCGTGTAAGTTACACCAGCGATGTAATTTCGAGCCGCATTCAACGACAAAAGGCTTAAAACTGCATTTTCATTTGATTTCATTTCAAACATACTTCATGTTCGCTTCAGAGGCGGACCCCTCCAATATTTATCGTTAAGGTGCATGACATGTGGCCCGCATGATAGAGCGTAGTCCTCCTAAATCTCCCGGTACCCATACGGCCCCATTAAATGGTGATCAGTTCTCACTTGTCTCCGGCTTACTTTGTATAGTCAGTAATGCCCAAAGCTACTAGAACTGAATAAATCGGAACCCTGGTATACCTTTCCGCATATCTTTTATGATAGATGTATCCAAGCAGATGAATTTGTCCAAAACTCAAGATCTTACTGGATCAGCTAGTCCTTTCAGCGTAAAAACGAGACCTATACGACACGACCTCGTCTCAAGATGATAATAAAACTACGACTGATTAAGATAACACATTTGATTGGACCCTTGAATGTTTGTATGCGATATTGCGCAAACATCCCAAATATGGTACAGGTGTATCCATCAAAGCGTTGTATATCAAATTTGTTTCAGGGAACAACTTTAAAAGCAAGATTATCATGTCGCGATCCGTTTTTCGGCAAAACACTTTCCTTTGACGACGGGCTAACGCTTGAAACGTACGTGTCAGCTTTAGAATCTTTTAAGTGGCTAATGGACTTAATCAACTCAACTGATGAAACCAAATTGTCTGTAAAGAGGATAGCCTCGATAATAAACGACTTCGACATAGCAAACACCACCGTACAGCGAGCAATATTGTACCACAAACCCTGATGTTGCGACGGATAGGTTTTTCCCCGAAAGCACAATAAAAATAGATGTTCTAACAAAAAAAAGGGGCACAGTACGGAATGGCTAAAGATACGCGCAGTATGCACCCAAACGTCTCACCTGTCCTGGAAGACATGGTTAGTGTGTTTTGTCCCACCTTCGAAGTAAACGCGGTGCAAGGGTTTTCTAAGCGCTCAAATGTTGATTTGCATGGAACTACAGGATGTACCTGCATTGCAGGATTAAAATTCCTTTTATTGAACAGCATATGAGATAACGTTGGGATCGTGATCTTTTTCTTGCCCTTGAACTTAAATCCCAGTCGTAACAGGAAGGCCAGGGTAAGAAAGCCACCTACGCAATTGTAGAAGAAATACAATAGTTTATGTTTTAAAGGTAAGTAGATTACCTCGCGACAGGATTTTGCGGATCAAAACTGTACCTGTCAATTTATCCATTATCGTAGCTTGACAGTTTTTATTTTGACATAAGAAGAGCTAGTGTTTGGTCAGTTAAGTTTCATGCTTTTGTTGCAAACCATTTTCACTTGTGCATCATCGAGGTTAGCTTACCCCTTTGAATATAACGTCTGAAAAAAGATTCGTCCACTTTGGAGAGCTCAGTAGAAATAAAAATTTTTGTGGTGATTTGCACTAAGCGGTTGCAAAGCTAAAGACCATGTACAAAAAGTCATGTTTCACATGGTTTGCCTGAGTTTCCGTCCCCAAGATGTTCCGTTTCCTTCCCATGTAATACCTCACGTATCATTTTAGTGTTTTCTATTCAGTATTCATTTCATCCCGATAAGGCATCATGCCGGCCCTATTAGCTGATAAAAAGCTTATCGCTCCAATATCTTTAAGTAAAACATTGCGATCAATTTCTTACTGTTATCAACATCATGCATGCCGTGCTGAATAATTGCCAATGAAATAACTGTAGCCAAGTAAAGCGAATTGGACTGTTCAAATTGTATGAAATTCACTTTTGTGCTCTCTGAGCCGGGGGGAAGGATGGAACATAAGAAAAGCCCTACCCTTGTATACTTGGCTACAGAGACCAACACAAATTAACTGATTTGACAGCGATTAGAGCGTTCAATGTTTTTAAACGACGAAAAGAAAACAACTTTGAAACATTTCTAACATGGCACAAAAATCCCTTTCATCATGATGATATCCTGCAGTAAGCATGTGATGAAATGAAGTAGGATTGGTCTCAAATGTATAAAAAGCTTTACTAGTTAGCGTTAAGATTGCTTTTGGCATTCTCTTAGACAGAATAACTGAGAGCGTTTTCTGCGAGCAGAGTGTTCATGTCTCGTGCCTCGGTCTAAATAGACTTAACTGCGATTACGAAATTTCTTCGATTATCTTATCCTCACTTGCCCAGACTTTGGCTAAACAATACTTCAAGCTTTAAAATCGTGATATTCGTAGCCTTAGCCGAAATAGCATAGATGTGTTGACGAAATTAAGAAATGAAGAACAGTGATAGATATTGGGGAGAAACACCCCAGAGGTAGAGGGTAAGTTAAGTTTTACATTTCAACGCACTTGGAAAAATTTTGTTTAGAAACAAAATTGATCCCTTAGAGTACTTATCATGAGATATGTCAACTTATGAAGGAGATGAGATTCCAAAAAAATCGATCTTTATTTAAGATTTACCCTCTCTATAATTGACATTACAGTTACTTTTTTTACGAAGTTCGAGTGAAACTCGCAATTCTAAGTTACAAGTTTGCTCGTATACCGATCCAAGAAAAATTTGTGACACAGATGTAACATTAAGTATGCTCACAGTTCGATGTTGATCAAGCAAAAGCTCGCTAACTGCCTCGGCACCCAATCTTTTTTTTTTTTTTTTTTTTTTTTTGCACTTAGTGTATAAACCTACTGCATTTTAGAGCTGTTTATTGTTCGAAGTGCGACTCCTGAAGCTACTTCACTCGAAAATAAAGCGTTAGTCCTACTTCAGGTCTGGGGGCTTTGCACCCGGGATCATAGAGGGCATCTACTCCAAACCGGTTTGCAGGACCATAGCTGGTGCTATGCCCAGACCCACACATTCCATGGCCAATATTCAGGGTTGTGAGGCAATCACAGTTGTCGTCATCCATTAAAATAGACGACGCTATTCTGCGCTCGATACATGAAAGAGTCTTGCTTCGCTTTTGGCTTTGTTCCTTTCAGTACCACTGGATCCCAGGCGTCTGGGTTGTTGAGGACTTTGCCCGCGGGAGTGGTCACATGATCGTGGAAGGCCAACCACGCAGCATGCGCAACAGCGTTGTGAGAGTCAAACTTCCAAAGGTATTCGTTTCCTTGAGAGTCGATAGCAAGCATTTCCGTGTTGTCTTCCCTTGCCCAAGATGGTATTCGTCCAAAACAGTACTCGCTATACGAACTGCAGTATCCGTAAGGGTAGGTTAGCACACCATTTACTTTCGCTGGCCATGTTGCATCAGCAGTCCACCACCAGAAGGTCATCCACCTTCCACCGTGTTTGCATGATGTCATGGGTTTTGCGACTTCATCTGATACAGTGAAATATAAAGTGAGGCCGACATTCGATCGCGGGGTGTTGCACTTGCCATCGTAGAGAGCATCGACTCCATATCGATTTGCTGGACCGTACCTCGAAGAGAACCCAGACCCGCACATTCCATGTCCCATGCTCAAGGTTGACAAACAGTCACAGTTGTCGTCATCCAGCAGAAGGGACTTGACACCTGCTTGTAATCGATACATAAAAGAGTCTTGGTGAGCTCTTGGTGAAGTTCCTCTTAGTACTGTGGGGTTCCATGTCCTGCTGTTTCTTATCTTTTTGAATGGTGTCTCCACATGATCATGAAGTGCCCTCCAGGCCGCATGCGCTGTTGGATTTCCGGAAGAGAACCTCCAGGTGTAGACGTTTTCTTCTGTGTCGATAGCAAGAAACCTGGTCCTATCTTTTTTGGCAGCGGAAGGAAGCCTTCCAAAGCAGTAAATGTCAGTTTCTCTGCATTTACCAAATGGCTTTTCTAATACATCAGATACTCCTTCCGGCCATTTTCCATCCTTTGGCCACCACCAAAAGGCTGCCCATTCAAAGCCATATCCTTGAAAGGTAAGTGAGTGGCTTGGAACTTTGAAATAAAGAGTCAGTCCGTTGTTGGGGCTTGGTAGGTTACAAACAGGGTCATACAGAAGATCAATTCCACGGGCATTTGGATCAAGTTTATCACCGCACATAGTAGCCCCAAGTTGAATTGTCGACAAACAGTCACAATTGTCATCATCTAAAAGCACAGACTTGACCCCGTTTTTACTTCTGTAAGTGAAGGAATCCTGATCCACGAAGGCTGATCTTCCTTTCAACACTGTTGGATTCCAAGCCTTTTGGTTTAGAATTGAACCAGCAGCTGTTTCTTTGTGGTTGTGAAAAGCATTCCATGCCGCATGCGCAGTGGGGTTAGAGGCGTTAAACTGCCATCTGTAGACATTGTTTTGCGAGTCTCTGGCTAAAATCTGTGCAGACTGTTCCTCGAGCCAAGACGGAAGACGCTGAAAGCAAAATGGGTCACCACCGGAGCAAGATCCATAAGGATTTTCAAGTACGTCCTTTATACAGTTTATCGACACCAAACACGTTAGACTTGCTGTACGAGGTGGAGTGACCAGCGTTACACATCCCATGACCCATACTCAGTGAAGACAAGCAGTCACAGTTGTCGTCATCCAAGAGCAAAGACTTCACACCATTCTGGGTCCGGTACATAAAAGAGTCTTGAGTTGCCTTAGGTTTCTTTCCTTCCAGAGTTGTAGGGTTCCAGGCCTTCTTGTTTTTAATCTTTCCGTTGTGAGTTTTTTTATGATCATGGAGCGCTTGCCAAACAGCATGGGCAGTTGGGTTCTTCGAGTCAAATTGCCACCGATAAACAGTTCCTTCATTGTCAATAGCAAGCAGTTCCGTAGCATCTTCCCTAGCCCAGGAGGGTAGCCGCTGAAAGCAGTAATGATCACTAGACTTGCAAGTGCCATAGGCGTTTCTCAACACATCGGTTACACCAGAAGGCCACTTCTTCCCTGGCGTCCACCACCAGAAGCGATGCCATGACGACGTGTTGTAAGTGCCACAAGATACTTCAATGGCGAATATCAGAAAAGTGAAGGCAGTTGAGGAAGAAAAACATTCCTATGAAAAAAAAATGAAAACCTCAAGCTCTGTAATATTACAATGACCCCTTCCCCCACTTTTTTTTTATTGGCAATCGATTGTCTGGTCCTCCCATTATACTCTGTTGGCAGCGACTAAACCCCACTCCGTTTCCCTGAAAACCATGTGATCCCTCCGGCCCCCACCCAAAAAAAATTCACCACCCCCTCCTAAAGGCAATAAATATCGACTGGTCCCTCACCACATACAATTGTCTTTTCCCCTGACCACCCCTCTACCGTAAACATGAAAACACATCGTTATACAAAACTGTGTTAAGCTACCTTTAAGGGTCATCGTGTTGTCAAAACGGCCGTCAGCTATTTCGTCGGTCCTTTTACAAGAAAAGATAACATAAAATCATTTAAATCTGAATGCGTGTTACGGCAAACATATTTGCTCTAGTATAAAAGCATTAGTTGTCCTCGCCATGACAAAAAAATTAATTCTTGACACTTTTTGAACCTTCACTGAATCCCTCGCTTTATTCTCTACTCAAACAGAACGTTTGCTTTGAAAGCCTCATTGATATAAATTGATGAGCTTGTCAGCTCAATCAGAGCATTACATGACAGCTGAAAATTAACCCGCTTTCAAAAATGGAAAAAAGCTCGATTTTGGAAATGATTAACGAAGCTTAATTAATCACTTTGATTTAAAAGTTTTGTCATCATTGCATACTCGACGGTAAGCCTATCCTTATCAGTTACGTTCCCCTGAAAACGTATTTAACTACCTAATGTAAAGTTTTTATTCCTCTTGTGGATAGAAACTTGGCGGGCTCTAACAATGGTTATTAACACGATGAGGCAATGTTTTCCCGTGGAATGAAATAGCTGTTGAAACGTCTTTCGAAACGAAGAAATCTAGCGTAAAAATTGGTTAACGGAGAGCGAAATTAATAATTTAGATTTTGCTGAAAATCTGTGAGAGACCTGATGCTAACTTAAATAGAATTCATAAGAGTTCCATCGCTGCCCTAAAAAAAACCGTGGCTACAAGCAGGACAAACGTCGTATTCGAGAGGGTGAAGAGCCCCTTTAAGATTCAAGCTGCCCAGAAAACCTACCTTTCAACCGAGCGTGGAAAGCTTGAGAGAAATGGAATGGTTTCGTCCTTAGCACCTCTTACGACTCTGAAGCAACACAACGTTAAGTCAAATCGACCAGTAGTCCAACGAGAAAATTTTCCGGTTTTGTATACATTTACAATTGATCGCATTGTGTGGGACATAAATATTCTTGTAGATCGGTTGATGTTTGCTGAAATCATTTACTCTCTTCTAACTTGAAAAAGTTTCCTCCAAATCTAGGTTATGTAACTCTAAAATCACCTGGCCAGCTTTAGAAATTCCTGAACGCGGAGTATTGCGCGCACGCCTACAAAAAGATTGAGTTCTTTCAACTCTTCGTCATAATTTGTTCTAAAAGGATATATTAAAACATTGTACTTATCGAGATTCTCGAAAAAACTCAAACTCAGTTTGTGGTTTTTCGAGAATCTTTACCGACTGAAGAAGTTCCTGATAACGCTTCGAGAGCTCGTCGGGCAAATTTTTGTAAATAAACCTAATTTAGCGGCTTCACTAATTATGCATGATAGCGTGTTTGAATACCATTACATCATGTTTACGGCAAAAATAATTAATCTCCACCGATTTTGCTGAGTGTTTTCCTTTTCCTGTTATTCAAATGGTCCAAATGAAAGGTAAAAGGAAACTTCTGCCTAACAATTTTGATGGATTTTTCTCTACTATATGCAAAGACGGCCGAAGAATTGCGAAAGCAAATATGAAATTCTTCCGTTTTATTTATCGGTCAAAGTCTTAAATATTTGAACCATTTTTCAGAGGAAGATGAATTCTTTAAAAAAGTGATTTTAATAACATTTTGAAAAGTAGAGTTGAGCCATGGTAGCTGTGAACGAACATCTAGCTAAGATAATTGGATTTGTGACATTTATTTACATTTAGCAGCTGTACTCCCATGGGATACTTTCAGCCAATCATAACCTGGGACATGTGGTTCGGTCTCGCTCACTGTGCACGTGAGGTCAAAGTTGGACTATGAACTCTACGTGACTAAGCAAGTTTCAGATCGCGAACATAACCCTACGTGTAGTACTTTCTACTGAATTAACTTCTAAAACTAGCGTGACACTGGGTAAAACGACACAATTCTTCAACCATGAACGGCGAAGGAGAAAGAAATGGCGGAGAAGCCGAAAATATTGAACAACTTGATCTTAACTTGGCTTATCGATTCCTCGATTCACTCCCAAACGATGTTCACATCTTAAACAATTTGCCAGATCCGTTGAAAATTACAAGGATCAATCTTGCCGGAAACACCATTTCAGTTCTCCCCGATTCAATAGCAACCTTTCCGAACCTTAGAGAATTGGATGTCTCTGCAAATGGCTTGGCTTACATCACCCCACGAATCGGCGAACTACGGAATCTCAAACGCTTGTTGGCAAAGAACAACAACTTGGTCGATTTACCGAAAGAGTTCGCTTCCCTTTTGGCTTTAGAACATCTTAATTTGAGCGGTAATCGATTTGTATCGTTTATGCCCCAAATGTTTGAACTTTTAGCACTCAAAGCATTGCTTTTAGGAGGGAATAGAATCGACGTTATTCCACCAGACATTCATCGTCTCCAAAGGTAAGGTTCGTAAACAGTGCGGTTCGAAATTACCATTTTCAGCAAGCAATTATTTCGCAGAAATTTTGTTTATCTTTTATGAATGGCCTGAGGGAATTTTTCTTTTTTGGTTTTTACCTCTACCTTTTTTTATCAGCATGTTCATTTTATATAAATGGAAATAACATGGTTCTAACTTGCCGTAATGTTTCGCAATTGCTGTGCTCGTGATATCGTTTCCATGTTAGGCCATGTCTTACATGTACGTGCTGAATCATCCTGGTTACGTAAGATCTCTCTAGAAGATGTGTTAAGGCCTAAAGAAACGCTTTGTTCTTCTGTTACTCATTTATTCATTCATTCATTTGGCTTATTAGTTTTTTGAAAACTCTTTTAGTCTAGCTCCGCGATACAAATTTTCTAGTGTGAGCAACTGAACGTCAAACCATGTTAATTCACCTGTAATACAATAGATAAAATATCGATAGCTTGGTAAGCCCACTTAAGGGCAGCACTTTCCTAAGAAAAATGAAAATTTCCTTTAATTTTAGTTCATATGACACATTTCTTTTTCAAGTACTACTGCTTAAGTGGTGTTCATTACTGCGAGGATTGCTTTTGTATTCATTCCTTAATCCTTAGTTCACATTTAACAATTGGTTCATACGTCAGCGTGCGTTCATCGAGATATGAAGCACTTGGGAAACTTGGAGAGCACGAAAGATGCATAATAGTTGCTTGAGGCATAGCCAAGAGTAACTCTAGCTTCTTGATTGCTCTCCAAACTTCCCAAGTGTTTCATATATTGATGAACATGCAGCTGACGTATGAACCAATTGTTTTATAACATTTTAAACCCGATGGACAATTTTTTTTTCTCCAGGGATTTGTTTACTGACATCACGAGTGTGCATGAAGCTTGCTTGCGCAATTGAATTTGAATAGACAAATTTACTAGCTATGTTATAAATATGATTTTCATATATTCACAGATGTTGATTCATCATTTCATCGGTTTATTACAAACCAATATAATGACCAGCTCCCAGTTGGCTTGTTAGCTCAGTTGGTAGAGCACTGCAGCAGTATCATAGTGGTCATGGGTTCAAATCCTGTACAGGCCAGGTTTTTTCCAGGCTCTATTTCATTAATACTTAAATATTATTCATTGCTGCAAAGATCACTTTCATATGCAAAATTAAGTTACTTTAACAATTTTGAAGTCAGATTTGTAGCCTAATTTTTGTGTACCATACATCACACAGGTTGGAAATTCTTTATCTTGGTGGCAATCAGCTGGAATCTGTACCAGCTGAACTGGGTATGCTGCGCAAGTTGAAGGCTCTCAACCTGTGCGACAACAAGATTGAATCACTGCCTTCGACATTTGCAAAACTGACACATTTACAATCTTTGAGTCTTCACAGTAACAGATTGACACTGCTGCCAGTTGGACTTGTAAAACTACGAAACCTGGAAGAATTAAGTCTAAGAGAAAATCCTCTTGTTGTGCGATTTGTTAGAGACATGGCATTTAACCCTCCTTCGTTATTAGAATTAAGTGGTCGCTGCATAAAAAATACAGGTGTCAAATATGGTCCACAAGACCTACCTGCTCATTTACTTCAGTATCTGAATAGTGCTCGCCGTTGTGTGAATCCATGCTGCAAAGGAGTGTATTTTGATGCAAGAGTGCGACATATAAAGTTTGTGGACTTCTGCGGGAAATATCGTCTGCCTCTTGAACAGTTTCTGTGCTCACCACATGCTGATGAAAGATGGGAAGATTGTTCCGCAACCAGCAGCAGTGAAGATGAAGCCATTGGCATACCACGTGAAAGAATGAGGAGAGTTCTTTTGGGATAAAAATAATTTCCAGCACATTGCAAAATGTACAGCCCCTCATTTGGGACTCTTAATTCGGGGTTTGCCTTCATTCAAGAGATGCAAACTTTGGTCCTGACTGAAAGAAATGCTTCTATGGTAAACTTTGCATCTGTTGTCTTCACTGACAGTTTGGACTCTTCAGGAAACACTAGTTTTTTTTTTAAGATGTCCACCATATCATTAACCCTTTCACTTGCCTCATCTCAATATCAGCCCTCTTAACTGTGTGCTGATACATTTATGTTTTGAACTTAAATAATTCATAATGGTAATTGAACTGAGTCGAGTGCAATTTGGTCTGAAATCATATACATGTTTTAAACAATTTAATCTGCACTGCACCTCTGTTTAATTTGAATTCACAAGTGTAATTTCAGACCATAATGCATAACATGAAGTTCAGTTATCACTGTTGGAAATTTGTTTTAAATTTGCAAAATTTAATGACCCAAACACAGGATTTAATTCATTACAAAGTTTTATTGATCCAGTACTGAAGTCATGGGGACAAATGTTACAAAAATTGCGACGTAATGGCTTCTTTCAGTTTTCTGAAGTTTGATTGGTAACTTTAATTACTTACCTTGATTGATTACTTTGTTTGGATATTTTGGTGAAGAGTTGCTTTCTCATTGGAAAAAGATGCAATTTAGAAACAAAAATGATGTAATTTGTCAATGAATTGCACTGCTGAGAGCCAATCAGATTGCTAGGACCATTAATTGCCAGTGATTTCAAAATGGATAAAGCAGAACAGAAATTCAAACAATATCCTCTTTTCTTTCTTCTCCAACCTGCTGTAAATTGTATTGATATTGTAAGGGGAAATTCATTTGTGGTCTTTCTTGGGAGTTACA